GCATAGTGATGATACTGATAACAGTAATAATTCATAACAGAAACGCTAACGGTGAAATCGACAATAAGGATAACCATAATATTATTCTTCGATGCAAAGTCCGTCAAGCATACGTGCACAGGGAAACCGCATTAAAAAGATATGCATATCATTTTGATTCCAAGAGCAGCGAGTAGAATATGAAATGAGTTGAAATAATCTTTCTCTGAGAATAATTTTCACTTTGGTATTGAGCAGATATGCCATTGCACAGCTTCCAGAGCGACTACACCGGCCATTGTTGTTAATAATATTAGCCACATATTATCAGCATCATCATTATCATTATTGTTATTGTTGTTATGTTTTTATTTTTTAGAAATATACTTCCAGACGATGAATTTTATCTGTCCCTCATTCTGCTCATTACGAAAACAATGCACTGATATATACGCAATATTTTCTTTAGTGAATAGGGTTTAGGTGAATTGATATCACAGGGATGAGTTAGTCACAAATTTTGATAAGAACTAATATCTATGACTCTTTGGCAGATTCGAACACATTGGCTTCATATATTTAGGAGGGCATATAACTCAAACAGGGTATTATTTATGTAATTTCTGCATAGTTTCCCGATTTTACAGTTTGTGTATAGTGAATGATGAACAAGACAAGAGACTTATATTACCACTACATAGAACGCCTAACGATCTCAACCGCATTGGTGTAAAAAATGCAACAAAGCTCCCTCCGTGCTCTGCATTCGAATGTGTAAGTGTGCGCAGAGCTCCGCCTATTATCACTGCAAGCGCGACGTTACTTTGTGACTATTATTGTGTCGCCTTCACTGTTGGTTGTAGTGCCTGCATTAGTATGGCCTCAGCATTGTTGCCATTACTATTACTGTTTCACCTATGTTATTATTGCAATTATGATTTGTATCGTATACCTACATTATCATTTCCGTAGTTATCAAAGTAAGTTTGTTGTTGTCACTAGGTCATTGTTGTTAATAACATTAGCCGCATATTATCAGCATCGTCATTATCATTATTGTTATTGTTGTTATTTTTATTACCATCAGTATCATCAACAAAATCAACATCAGCATCAACATCATCATTATCGTCATCATTTTCACCATCATCATCACCATTATCATCATCATAATTATCATCATCATCATTACCACCACCACAATCATATATATATGTATATATATATATATATATATATATATATATATATATATATATATATATGTGTGTGTGTGTGTGTGTGTGTGTGTGTGTGTGTGTGTGTGTGTGTGTGTGTGTGTGTGCGTGTGTGTGTGTGTGTGTGTGTGTGTGTGTGTGACTGTGTGTGTATGTTTAATATGCATGGAAGTCAGTCATCTGTATTCCCTAGTAAATCGACAGCTTTTCTCGACGATCAAGGTTCATCCAGAATGCATTTTATACTATACCATGACTGTACATAGGGCACATGGCAGTTTGCCCAGCCGCAAGTCAATTTTTACATTTCTATCTCTGGGATGTACTTCTGTGCAAATGAAGATAGTGTTAAGGATGCTAATACAAATTATATGGAATTGTTCTTAGTTTCGCCTGTATATGATACTTAATTTACTTTGCCCACGTTATCTTAATGATACATCCGGCCAAAATGAGTTTGAATAAATATGAAGAGCAAACATAGTGAATTTCTGATCCCTTACATCGTCAGGTTGGCCGAGTGGTCTAAGGCGCCAGATTTAAGCTCTGGTACACGAAAGTGTGCGTGGGTTCGAACCCCACACCTGACAAAGTAAATGTTTTTAATCAGAGTTAGTGAAATGGGAGTAAGACTTTTTATTCAGGATATTAACTGAAGTTCACTTGCTGACTGCATTTCTACCAGTTGTTTAAGTGTGCAACTTTAACATTGACGGTGGTTGGAAGCGTGGGATTTGAGTAACGCGCTGTGACGCAAGAGCCGGTTCCGTCTGAGTGGGACAAAACATAAGGCTTTTCTAACTATATCAGTGCAGATATGAAAGTGAGAAGTAAGTTTTATAAAAGTGATACCCAATACTATTTTTATGTGCATGCTACTTGTGTATAGTTAATAATTAAACTTAATAGTATATAGTTTGGACCTATACGCGTTATGCTAATTCTTCCGCTTATTTATAGATGCAGCTAGTGTTGCTCCATTCATTCATACTATATACATTTCGTTTGGTAACAGATTAATATGAAAGGCTTTTGATTACTACTAATCTTAGTATATTTGACCACAAATTAGTTATGTAAATGATATTGGTAGCATTCCGAGATTATTAAACTAGACTTAAACTAGAAAAATAAACTATATTCATATATCGTATATATTCACGATGTAATATTCCGTACTGATAATTATCTGCGTATTCACAAATACAAAGAATACCTACTATCATCCAACAGGGACGCTCAAGACACATCACGTCCGTAGCTCCTATAAAAGTATAGTACCATAAAAGCGACTCGCGGGAAGT